AAAAAAATTATATTTAAATAAATTATATTAGTAATCTTAATTAATTGTTATAGATATTATAAAAGTGTACATAACAAAAAATACGGTGGTAAGCAGGTAAGAAATTCTAATTAAATTTTAATTAAATTTTATTTTATTTTATTTTAATTTAATTTTAATTTTATTTAATTGATACAAGGCTGCTGTGCGCCTGCGAAAATCGGCTGCTGTGCGCCGATACAAGGCTGCTGTGCGCCTGCGAAAAGCGGCTGCTGTGCGCCGATACAAGGCTGCTCTGCGCCTGTGAAAAGCGGCTGTTTTGCGCCGATACAAGGCTGCTGTGCGCCTTTGAGGAACAGTTAATTGTATATTCATATAAAATTGTTACGCACTTGTAAAAGGCTGTTTTACATATTATATTATAGTTATAAAATTATTGTGTGCTTACAGAGAGCGCTACTACGTTATATATATACAAAATGTCTGTAAAGATAAAAAAACCTATAATTCTATTACCTAGAGTCAAAAATATAATTGTCCGAGGCGAATGGTTAACCGACATACATATAGAACATTTTGATCATCTTGTACAAATTTATACAAATTATAGACCTGTCGAAACGTGGCGAATTCAATGTCTTGATACGATTCAATCTGTACCAGAAGATAAAAAACATATACAAATATTACATAGTTCGTCAGATTTATCAGATGGACATTGGGTGTGTAGTTATTACGACACAAAAAACATATTTATTTATGATTCATTAAATAATAAGAAGTTGCACAGACATCATGAACAATTCTTGAGAAAATTATTTCCAACATATAACTTCGAGAAAAACCCTGTCCACTTTCCTACTGTACAATACCAACCAAATGGTAACGATTGCGGTGTTTTCGCAATAGCTTTTGCAATTTCATTGTTATTTAATATTAAACCCGAGAAAGTAAAATATAATCATAGTTTAATGCCTTTGCATTTAGTAAAGATTTTTGAATCTAATGTTATTGAGCATTTTCCACAAGATTCACAATATGGTGCACCTCAAAAAGTACTTCCATTAACAGTAATAAAAGTAAGAGAGGCTGAAGCAGTACGCATACGTACTATACGTCAATGTACGACAATGCAACAAAGATTGAACCGTTTAGAAAAGATTCATGATATTGACCAATCTAAGGAAGAGTTAAATAATAATCAATTGCAAATATCAACAGAAAACGTTTTAAAACAATTCGTGAAAACAACGAATGATATTTATGAAGAAACAGATAAATATTCTTCAAGTAAGCTATCTATAATATTAAAAATAATATCGATTGCAAAATTAATAGCAATAATGATTTGTGTTGTAACAATGAAAGAAATAGTATTATAATTTACGAACAAATTCATGCAAACAAAGATTTTGAAAATAAATGCTCTAAAAAACGTTATTTAAACAGAACTTAGAAAATGAACGCGCTAAACAGCGCGATCGATATACACAGAACTTAGAAAATGAACGCGCTAAACAGCGCGATTGCTATCAACAGAACTTAGAAAATGAACGCGCACAAAAGCGTATGCGTTATTCGGAAAACTTTCAATATGAACGAGATAGACAAAAAAAATTAGATTCTGATCACAAGTGGCTTTATAATAAGCGATATTATCAAAGTAAAAAATCTAAACTTGAAATAAATAATCGTGATATTGCCAAAAAAGTTACTAAAAAATATGAAAAATTTTGGTCGAGAAATTTTATAAAAATTCGTAATTCTTTAGAAACATTTATACAAAATATTAGTAAAAAACTCAGTATTAAAATTCATATTGAGAAACGATTAAAAGCCGAGAAGATTGTACGTTGGTGTATGTGTATTAGAAACAGTTATATTTGCAATATATACAAAATGTTAGCTTTAATTAAAAGGAAATTGTAACGGCAAGGCCGTTACTACGAGCATATATTGTACGTGCGCCCAAATATATATATATATATATATATATCGCGGTACCGACTCCCACCGCCGGACCAACGGCGCACAGTGGGGGACGCCGGCCGGGTATATAAGCCCAGCCGGCAGAGATATCGGGACCAGATCCTATCCCGACCAGCTCCTGATACCGATCTCACCACTACCTATCACCTCTTAGGGCAGAGGTTGTACTTAGCCTCGCCGGGTTGAACCGGCACTCTACACCTCGGGCCAAGGTTGCACTTGGCCCCGTCGGGTTGTACCGACTCCCGTCTCGACCGCTCCACGGGCTGAGGTTGCACTCAGCCCCGCCGGGTTGCACCGGCTCCTACCTACCTCGGGCCGAGGGTGTACTCAGCCCCGTCGGGTTAAACCGACTTCCGTTGCTTAGGCAGCGCTCGACGTGACACTCGAGCCTGCCGGCAATACCTGGCCGCCTGACCTAACCTTAGATGATAAGTGCATGTACAGACCGCGCTGTGAATATATTCGCATGATAGAGATAAGTCCGCTAGTTCTAAGTCTCTTAGTCGTAGACCTGCTAGTTTTAAGGCCTGTTAGTACTAAGTCCGCTAGTTGTAACCGCATCCTAGTCTTAAGGCCTAACGTCGGCCATGTTGTCAATTTTACTCGGCTGCGTTTGAGGAGCTTACTATCGCTATCGCG